AAAAAAACATTCTTTTTTTGAATGCTATCGCCGTATTTCATTGCTCACACGCGTGCGTACGCAAGCGCACACTCGTAAATACACGCATACACTGAACTTGGTGAAGTTACACATTTCCAAGCAGGTTCCCCAATGAATAAGTGCTCTGACAGGACCAAACAAAAGCCAGATAGAGATGACTGTATCAGCAGATCTCTACCATGTGTTTTCCTTTCTTTCTTTTCTTTTGAAAAACAACACGTTTTTTTTTCAAATAATAAAAGTTCCTGCTATCTCCTTTGATACCTTGACAGCAAAAGATGTAAAAGACCAAGATAGCCCTGTTAATATTCAACATGCCATATATTCTTTTTTTTTGTAGGTTTTTTGTTTTTGTTTTATGTTAACTTTAAACAAAACAGTATGGTGCTCAAACCCCAGCTTCTATAAAAATATATAATTGTATGTATATATATATTTTTAGCAATTTTTTTTATTGTTGTTGCTGGGACTCAGCTCTAGCAGGGGGCTCCTCTGATTGGCTGAGTCCAGTGAGATAGAGATGAGCGCTCAGTCAAAACGATTCCTGTGGATTATCTCACTTTAACATTTTCTTTTTAGTCTGATTGTTCGTATTTGTAATAGCCTTTGTGTTTCTTTGTCGTTTTGCATCAAAATCTCAAAGTGACTGGTGGGTAGACTGGTGGGACAGGACAAGGAGGTGGGCCCTAGGTCTGGTGATCAGGGTGGGTTGATTCTCACTCGTTGTTGTTGCTGTTCTCTAAATCCTTGCACTGGATGTTACCGCCGCTGTAGTCAGTGCCGGGCAGCTGCACGCCGTATTTGTCCACGCACCAGCAGATGCCTCGTTTCCGGCCGCGGGAGGGCTTGCACTGCAGGGTGGACCAGGGACAAAGGGTCATAAAACTGCAAGCTCAAATAAAAAAAAAATGCCTCAACTAGTAACGGATGGTATGCTGTCATAAAATATTTCGGTAACACTTTATGTTAAGGTGTCCTTGTTACACACGTAATTATGCATAATTACATGCAAGTAACCCGAAGCCAAACCCTAATGCTAACCGTAACCATATAGTAAGTACATGTAGTTAATTAATATCACTCAGTACTTAAATGTATAATAACACTGTAACTGACACCTTAAAATATAGTGTAACCAATTCCTATGCAATTCCTATGTAGAGGACTGTGTTGATTATAATGGGCGTATTTTAGTTTTGAACAGTGTAAATACTAAGGATTAGTATTATCTTCAAAACTCAATTAGTCAGCTAATTGTTTGAGTAGACTAGTTAAAAAAACATTGTTACAGATACAAATTTAATAAAAAGAAAAAAAAAGGCTATAACCAAGTATTGAACAAGTGGGTTAGTAATGGTCTTTGTAATTTATTGATTAATCAAAGAATTAAAGGATGTACATGGATTTAAGGCAATAAAGAACAACAGAAAAGACCTAGAATATGATATGTCTAATATGCAGAAAATGTCCCTGTTCATGTTTCGTCTTGTTAGTTATAAATTACATGAATCGTGTAAATGATGAGACTATATTTTCTAAATTAAAAAGGCGACATTTGACAAAAAAAGTTGAGTAGTTTGCATCAGTGGATATTAGCCGTTTAACATTTCTGTCATGAAAACAGTTATTGAATATTAAATGTTTATCTACAAAACGATTCAGTTTTACTTTTAAAATGTTTTACCTCACACTCTTTCACCACTGAAACTGAAGGGTTGCACTTGAATTCATGTTTGGCAGCAAGCTAGTGAATCTCACTAATCAATCTCATTAATCAATGTTAGATGACTGGTGTTGAAATCAGTGCATAAATATAGAATTCAACTGATTTATGGTCACAATTTTACAAATTTGTTCAATAATCCAATCACTTGGATTGGGTTCATGGAGTCCCAAATAAAAATAATAATAATCAAATGGGATATAAGAGATAATGACATAAATTTTATGTTGTAACATGTACCTTTGATTAGTAAAGTATAAAGTTCCCTGGACATGGTTTTTAATATTTTCAGTTAGTTCCTGTCCTCAGTTTTTTTTTTTTTTTTTGGCTGTGTTTGTTCCA